TATATTGGCAAATGTGATAACAATAATACACTGATTTTTCTTAAATTTCTGAACTAGTTTTTTAATTATTGACTCTCCATCTCTTTGAATAAGCATAATGTGGAATTATCCAATAAAAATCATTGTTTCAATGTAATCTTCAGTTCTTATAAAAAAGTAATTTTTAATTCTTTTTGTAATAATTAGCATGCACTGTAATGTTGCACGGATTTTCTACATTATTATACGATTATGAAAGCTTAAGTGATGCATACGCGCGATACGATATGTCATATTAATAGAAACGAAAAAGTGTGATAAGATAATAGATGTTATACATGGAACGAAATAGGCAGGATAAATTTGTCGTTTAGGATAAACAAGATTTTCATATTATTTAAGTTGTTACGCATTGATCTTTATTATTTTGTGTCTAAACTAGATCTGCGATTAGCCGCAGCTTATAAAAAATATAGAACACTTTGTGTGAGATCTATGGTGAACACACGAATCGATCATATCAGTGTAGCGTTACAAAATATGACAAAAGTACGATTACTCGGTTACGCGATCATTTGTGTTACGATTCACGTAAAAGATAGGCGGTCTTCTTTCCCCCCGTGTTTCAAAAATACACACGAATATGAATTAGAGTAAATTACGTGAAGTGAAATTGTCGAGTATTTTAAAAGCGGAATCGGTTTCGTTCCATTGTGACTAGTAGCGGTAACGGTAGGCGCGGCCGTAATTGTACACCGATTTACTTTCGATTGGATTACAGGTGTACAGGGCGTCACCGCGAGTTCCCTCCGGGCATGTGCAAACTGCGATGTGACGTCGGGGTGTACACGTAGCGTTCGGGCCGCACTCACGGCCGGTGCACGGGTTCCTGCATGTAAAATCGATGCACGCCCGATTGTCCGGGCAATCGCTGTCGGTGAAGCACTCGCCGCGCTGACAGCTCGTTAATGCGCTGCCGATATAGCCGGTGGGACAAGTGCACACTGGCCTCTCCCTTCCGGCGTTGTCGTGGCCCGGCGTGCAAATTGCTTGCGCGCCGCAGGGGTTCGGCTCGCAGAGATCGCCTGGAAGTATTTACACGATTTTGATAGAATGGTGCCTCTCCAATCATCTATGAGCGATCAGGCAAATTGCTGATTACTTACGCGGCTCGAAGGGCCTGCAGCTAACGAAGGGATTACCGGTCATGTGCTTCGGGCAGCTACACACGGGAGTGATGCCGCGTAGGTTGCAATCGGCGTTCACTCCGCAAACGCCGTCGCACGGATTCACGCATTTCTGATACAGGCAGGCGGGTTTGCCCGCCGGGCAATCCGAGTGGGCGGTGCACTCCGGTTGGCACGAGACGTACGGATTTCCCAGCCACGTCTGAAACGAGAGGAGAATTGGACTCCCTACATTAGAGTTTCGTTTCGTCACCCTTTCGCTTTCGATCAGACTTACATACATTAATTGTATCATCGACTACCATAATTGTACCATCGAAGGTTAAAGCGGAAGCGTCTTATTACCTTCGGGCAAGTGCAGCTCGCTCGATGATTGACAACTTGGCACTCTGCATTGTGTCCGCATTTGCAGGGATTCTCGCATTTGTACGACGACGAGCATGCGAGGTGCTGCGGACACTCGCTGTCGCTCTCGCACTCGTGACGACACCCTGCCAAAGGCGAGCCTCGATAACCCGGCACACAAGTGCAGACCGGCACCTCGTTGATCACTTCGCACTGAGTGTTCTCGCCGCACGGACTCGGCTTGCAGGCAGCTTCTACATTGCAAAATTTCTCGATGATGACACTTGCAACTTTTTTTTTATCAATGATCTTTAGAGTGCTATATGAATTTATTTGCTATTTGTCGAAAACGGGAACATGTTTAAGAAACGTCGTGTAAATGTTTGAAGGACATTTTTGAAATCTAAGGTGATCCTTTGGGCATTCTTGGATTGAAAGATAAAGTTTTTACGTACGAGGATCGGCGACATGGCAACCCGAGAACGGATCGCCAACGTGTCCTGGCAAACACTCGCAGGTACCTATGTGACTCCTGGTCAGACAATTTGCGTTTATGCCGCATAGACCCACGCAGGGATCGACACACCTGTTATTCGTGCATACTCTATTGTACGCGCAATCGTCGTTAACTGAAACGCGAAAAACGTGAATGCGACAAAATGTTAGATAACGCCAATTTATATAAATTTCAGCATTCAAGAATCATGAATATAATTTTGGTTTAATTAAGAGGACCATTATCAGAAAAATATATCAGGATATTCTGTTGCTAATCTATTCTTGTAGAAGAAAAATCAATTATTTCAGGAATCCGTCTTTGTAAGATTTGTCGCTGGTGTAAAGTCTTTACAAAGCCGATCATATATTTAATTATAATTATATGTATCTTTCATAATTTGTATTTTATACATAAAATAATATTAGAGTTTTAAGTTCTTTCCCGCAAATTGATTTACACGGCTTCTTATTTTTTACACTAATGGTCCTCAATTTTTTCACCAAGAGGACCGCATAAAAATTTTAATAATAAATCGAGGGCCGGGGAGTATTTTGTATATCGTCAAAGTTATTAAGTATACCAAAACTACGCACTCGTGAGTGAAAAAAAAAAGAAAGAGAAGATAATTTTACAAGTTCGCTTTCTTTTAGTCTAATTATTAGATTTACGATTTTTCTCTTTGCGAAAAGCAGTTTTACGCTTTTCTTCTTTTCCCTCATGCTTCTTCTTTGAAATTCAATATTCGGCCTATCAGGATTTCGCTGATCTGAATGTTTATTTTAAAGATCTAGAGTGACTATCGATCAGCGTTGATTAACTTTAACCGATGATTAAAAACGGCATAATTGTATATGAATAAAATATCATCGAAAGAGAAAAAAATTGTCAACTTTTTTCTCCATTTATGATAATATTTCCTTTATGTTGGCTATTTTGACAAGTTTTAAGCGTCGGTTAAAGTTAATCAACGCTGGAAGTATAATCACCCTTATTCATCTAATTTAAGTTATGTAACTTATTATTTATCTATCTATTCTATTTCCCAATATTTCTTACACTAGCGACGGGACATTCAGTATAATTCTTACAAATTTACTCACTTAGGCATTCGACTCGCACGCATTGCGCAAGCGGATCTCCCATGTGCAAGTTTAGACAGGAGCACACCGGCCGTCCTTCGCTTATCGTACATCTCGCGTTGGTTCCACATGTGTAGCTGTCGCAACTGCCTGCACAGACGGAATCGAGCGATTCAACGGCATGCCATTGAACAGCGAAAGATTTTTGCGTAATAGGTAAAACGAAACTTACCAGACGTGATTACTCGCGATTGAATATATCGACTGCCGTTGATCGCTGCGACGAGTAGAGGCAGGACCAAGACTGCGATTCGCGAGTGATGCATTTTTGCCACTACTTTTTATTTATCTGTTGATAAATTTGATGAAATCTGTTGATAATTATGATGAGAAAACGAGGAGCAAAATACAATAATTTTTAAATTGAATATTTTTTCTGTAGATTATAAACAGAATGTTCCAAAGCTCGTGGATGTCTTCTTAATGATAGACTTCTCACAAATTTGAAGTCATTCTTTTAAATGAGATTCTAAGCAGTTTCCATTTTACAATTAAAAAAAAATTGTTTACAAATAAAATAAAAAGTAAATAACAGAACTGTATTTTTCAATTTAATTTTAAGCAACTGTATTAAATAAAATTTTACTATAACACCATAAAATTTTAGTTTAAAAATTAGTTTAAAATGTAATGTTAAAAGTTGGAAAAGTGTGATAAATTGTTTTCCTCGACACACATTTTTGCTAAAGAAAAATACAAATTAATCAAAAAAACTTGTTATGAAAAGGATGTCCGCGAAGTTCGGGGAGACCTTGTAAATGCAATATATTATGCAAAGCCAAGGACAAATCCTTTAAATCAAAAATAACTTTTCCAGCGATTGAATATTATAGATAAGAAACTTTTCGCCTATTAATTTTCATAATACAAGTAAAAAATAAATGAGTAATAGATAATAATAAATAATAATACGAGCAATGAATAATAAGAGAAAAACAAGTAACGGATGAAATTTTAATATCTGAATAGTAAATTCTTATGAATAAATAAATATAAACATATATATATATATATATATATATATATATATATTATTT